CATCGAAAGTTCTTCCGATAGGCCGTGCTTTTGCCCTAATTTCTCGAATCATCATCTTACTTCGCGGTTCTGCAAAGCGTTCTGATGCTTTCTGTGAGAATATACGGAAATTGCAGCCCGAAGCTAGCAAAACTGCAATCCCAAAGATGTCTGACACTCGATGGGTTGAACGACACGATGCTGTTCTGACTTTTATCCAGCTGAAGCCTTCCATTGAAGCTACACTAGAAGACATCAGCAATTGGCCTGGGGAAAGCTGTGCTTCTGACTGCTGTGCTTATCTGGCTAGCATGATGCGGTCAGAGTTCCTGATTGCCCTGATGTCTATGAAGCACCTGCTGGGGGCGACTAAAGCTACCAGCATTGCTCTTCAGGTACCTTCGCTAGAATTGCCTCAGTCAATGGATCACATCCGGAACTTGCGTCACCTCTTTCAACAATGGCGCGATGGTGAAGGTAATGGCCGCTACGAAAAAGTCCACTCTGACGCCGCAAAGCTGGGCGATATTTAAATAGAGGGTAGAAGAGGCAGACCTCCTGTAGCATCATCGGCTTATGATCACTTCAGACAGACCGTTTAATTGCCCTTTCTTGACTTTGTCTTGATGGATCTCAAGGAACGCTTCGTTGGAGCAGCTTCTTCTTGTGTCTAAGTGTGCAAGCTGCTACCCCGTTGGATAAGTGAGAAGGATGCAAAGGAGGAAGATTTTGATGATCTGGTCCAATTATACGAAGGAGTAATTCCAGATGGTTACTTCTCCAGCGAGTTCGAAGTTTGGAAAAACATGTGGCGCTTACCCCTGTACACCGATACCCCAGAAACCTTCACAGCTGCACTCAGAGTGTGTCACAAAGTCACAATGCCAGTAATTTTTACTTTGCTCCAGATTGGTGCTACCCTCCCAGTGACGGTATGCACTGCTGAGCGCTCTTTTTCGAGCATGAAACTACTAAAAAGTTACCTCCGCTCCAAAATGGAGGACCGACTCTCAAACTTGGCGCTAATTTACATCCACAAAGATGTAGAAATCAATGATGAAGAGGTCATCGACAGATATGCCGCAAAAAATCGAAGACTCAATTTTGTTTAATTTTGTTCATTTTCATATTGCAAAAAAATCATTGTTTTCGTCAAACTTTTCTCAATCCGACCCCCCCCCCTCAAGAAAATCCTACATCCGCCCCTGAACGTAAGGAAACTATGTTTTTTTTTTTAAAAAACCTGTACATTTAGAATTTCAAGTAAAAACCTTGGACTTGAAGCTCTTTGAATTTCAAGTACAATTTTTGATTAAAAAAACTCAATTTGAGACAAAAAATCCCAGGTAAATTTTTTTCCGCTGGGAAAACGGGAAATAAAATTCACTTTTGAAATTCGAAAACAAATTTCAGTCAGTCAAGCAATCTATTTCAGCGATGAAACTTCAAAAAAACATTATGAGGCCAAACTATGCACTGGATAGGAGCACAATTTTGTGTCTGTATGCTCCTGGATTCCGGAGACAAGTCTTTAAACGGCGCAGAGACAATTCAGCCACAGACAATTCAGCCACAGACAATTCAGCCAATTTAAATTACAGACAATTCAGCCAAAAAAATTCAGACAATTCAGCCAAAGACAATTTGGCCTATTTAGATTAAAGAGACGAGATAAAAGGAAAATTTAAAACTTTTCTAATTTGATTAGAGTCCGAAGGCTTTCAACACTTTAACAAAGAAATGTGAAATATAAAATAACAAATTTCAAAGATCAAAACAAACTTGCTATTCATAAAGTTTTGAGATATATGTACATTGAAGGTACAAAGTTTTAAAAACTTCTCTATATGGTCTCGATTGTAGTTTTTTGCGTTTTGAACGAGTTTCTCATTGGCGAGTGAATACTTGGGCCTCGGTTTTCTAATAACATCACAGGACATCAGTCTCTCTACATTTATTTCGGCATTTTTTTGCTCATCTTTGAAAGGTGTGATCAGCTTGGGGAGGGCGGGGTGCTTTGTCGACACGAATTTATTGAAGCTGCCATTCCATGCCTCCAATGCATTGTTCGTACGAGGTTCACCGCTGAGCACCCGATTGAAAACGTTCCAATCGGCAATGTCAAATTTTGGTTTGACGCGTCTGTTCTTTCGACAGGCACCAATATAGGTGTCTTCAAAATAACCCGATAGACGCTGAAACTCCTCTGAGGGATACTCTTTTCGGAGAGCTTCAAAAGCGAAAATAGCGTCGTCAACGGGAACGAATGCCAAGCAAATCATTTTTTTGACATTCAACCGAAACTCATCATCGTCCATGTACTTGCGCGTAAATACCAGCTTCTGTACATTGTGCCATACTGCCTGGCATAGATGGAAGAAACAGAATTGAATTTCTGTATCAGGCTGCATTTCCCTTATGGCGTTGACAGCGGCTTCAAAATCAATGACTACTTTTTTCCAAATTGCTCTAAGCAGCCAAAAAGTTTTTCATAAGTGTCTTGACTCTTGTTGGGTAGCAGAGCATACACCAAGGGTATAACTGCGTTTTCGATTACACCATGAATAATATAAACTTGGTAAAAGACATCTGGTGCCACTGAAAACGTTCCATCGCATTTCCGACTGAGAAAACAAATCAAGCGCTGGTAATGTTGCAAAAAATAAAACTCGACTGTCCGACTTACCAGAATTAAAATACAGGAACTTATCACCGCTGTGTGTGAGTTTGAGAGGTTCAGGAATTTCGTCGACGCTCAAGGTTTTTTGGTTTTGGCATTGTTTCTAAGGCTTGCTGCCTGATTCGGTGTATACTCCGAAGAGATGTTGAGTAACTCGGTATTGTAGGCGCGGTACTGGTTTCTGGTTGGACAATATTTTAATCGCAATTAGTTTATCTTTTAAAGAAGTTTAAGTTTCTAATTAGTTTCTACCAACTACCCAAATTACCTAATAGGCGGTTGCACCCTCCCCCGCCTAAGGCATGATCAGAATATCAGCGTAACTGTGTGGCCAGTACGTGGTAGGGGTGGTCAACACTTTAACTGATATCCTTTTTGACCGCCTGTAAAACTCCCAATCTCGGTTCCACTTTCGCGTAAATTGGTTAACTTTTAAGTATTGTGCAGTTTTTTGTTGAGTTCGATTTTTGCTTAGGTACTATTCTAAAATTGGAAACATAATGAATTGCATAAAGTTTTATTATGTCTAGGTACTTTTGTTTCTGTTAATTATATTTGTTTTATGTGCATTTGAAAGGAATTAATTATAAGTCGTCTAATGAAAGCTTTGATGTTTTGCCGCATGTGAAAAGTTTTTGCGCGCACGTTTTAAAACTTTAAAACTGTCTGAATTGTCTTTGGCCGAATTGTCTCACTCATTTTGACTGACTTGTCTGAATTTGAAATTGGCTGAATTGTCTGTGACCGAATTGTCTGAACACCCTTTAAACATGTTTAAATTTTGTCGGAACGATCAAAGAGAAGTAAATAACAAAAGAAGAACAAAGGGAGCGTCCATGTTGCGGAATCCGCTTACAATGCACAAAATGCACAGTTTGGCCTCGTAATGAATTTCCAAGAACGATCCGGTTCGCAAAAATTACTTTTTCTGAGAAAGGTGTTCAAGGAAAAATAATTCTTTCATAGAACCAATCGGCTCTAAGGGCTCGGCTCGCAAACATTTATGGGTTGTAAAGAAACTTTTTCGAAGCTTCCTTGCTTCAATAGCATGCTTACGAATGATTAAATAAGCTATTTAAGTGAAATATTTTGTCGGTTCTCAAAAATCAGTTTTGAATGTCGTAGAACAAAGAAGTTGTTATGACAGGTTTGGTCGTTTCAGAAAATGTGGTCAAAGCTTCGATCAAAAAGTTGATAAGTTGACAGATGTTCTCTGGCCTTGAAATTCAATTGAGATTATCTTGTCTAAACAGTTAATTGTTCAAAAATTGTTTCTAGAATATTTCAGACTTTAGATAAACACCTTGCGTTCATATAAACACTGCGTACATAGCGCATTTTGAATCTGTTATTTAAAAGCAACACCAAAATTCTATGGACTCCATGGTTAAACGATTTTTACAGGAAACAAGGGTCAACATAAGGCGTTGGGGACAACATTTAAGCGAAAATCGTGAATGTTCTAGAAGTTTTTTTAATGCAAAATCTGGATGAGTATCAAATTAGGGCCTTTCTTTAGGTCAATGCTAAATGTCTAGACAGATTGTCTTGAAGTTTTGAGAAACGCCTTCAATTACAAGACTTGAATGACTAGCGTCAAAAACTGAAATTCTCAAATCTAGAGTTGGATGCTGTCAGGGTACTCTCAGTGGTTGCAAGTCTTGCCTCCAAATATGGCTGATCAAAACCTTTAAACTTCCCAGATCTCACGTTTTATAAAAATGCACAGAGTTTGAAACTCCCAACCCTAAAGCGGTGTGCTGTTAACAGGGTGCTTTAACGGTCTTTTTTTAAGCGCAACGGAAATTGATTTATGAAAATTCTCGCATCGATTCATCATAAAGAATGTTACGTTTTTCAAATCATCGCTTGAATGACCCGATTAGATAAACTGAATTTTTGCCAATCCATTTAGAAAACAAAACAAAAAACAGCCATAGTTTGAATGACTGAGAGAAACTTTCGAACCGATTCACGGTATGCAATAGATTTAATTTTTTTTATGTTTCATCGCTTCAATAGCTTGCTTTGCAAATTTTGCTAACCAGTTTAGCTACACGTGATAGTTGGGCCCCTTAAGTTTAAATGGTTCGCGTAAGAACCATTATTACGCCTTAAATTCTTCGCAAACATGGTCCGCATTTGTTTACTTGTTTTTAAATTTTCTAAAATTTGCGTGAGCCATCTTTCAATCTTGCTTCTAGGACCAAACTATCATACCTGTACCCCAGTTCAAACTAAAATACATTTGAATTAGTTCAAAGATTCAAGGCCTTCTGCGAGCCGATTGATCAATGAAGACCTGCTTGCTAGTTTTATTTAATATAGAAAATATAGTTACTTCGCGACGGCCAATGAGCAAAAGGCAGCATACTGTGGGCACCTCTCCTCGTCCAAATGCTTGGCTAGTTTTGTGAAATGATCGAGGGAATCAGAGAAGTGTGTTTTCTTCAGATACTTCCTGAAACGAGACTCTTCTTAATAATATTATTAAAGAGAAGGCGCGAAGCTAAGTTCGCTCAATTATAATTCAATTCCCTTATGAGCTCAACCGTAATAATTCAGTCAATTAAAAAAATCTTATTTTTTACTTAAACGAAACTACAAAGCTTTGGTTTGAGTGCCTTAGAAGCATGCAGGATTCTAAATTATCTCCAAAGATACAGCTTCTATTTATAATTGAAGAAATAAAAACTGGAAAAAGATTACTTACTTTTTCAGACGAAGAGATAGTTGCTCGTACATTCTCCAAAACTCGTCCGCGGTTTCCATGTTTTATCTTAGTGTGACGAAATGATAATCTGAAATATATGTCTCCTTTTTAAAAACACTTGTCGGAAATTTTTCAAATTGATGAATTGCAAAAAAAGAGATGGGGCTGATATAAAGCTAATTAGGAAAAAATGCACTTAACTAATAAAACGAGTTCTCTTCAATCGTGCAAACCCGCATCGAGCAAACAGAAAACTGGAGAAACTTATATCTGAAGAGCACCCGTTTATTTCAGCACCCGGACTAATGAGGAAAAAATCACCTTTTTTAAGCAAATTGTCGATCACGTTTTTCGTGACCTTTACCGTTTTGTTGTTCATTAGTGGAGTTTGCCTTCCTTTTAACAAAGTAAATGAACTGAAAAAGACGTCAGAAGGCAAATCACGTTTTTCATGACCTTTTGTACTGTTTTGTTGTATGATAGTGAAGTTTGCCTTCCTTTTAACAAAGGAAATGAACTGAAAAAGAAATCAGAGGTCAAATCACGAATTATCAAAGTTGAGAGGCAACAAATTTTAAGACTTTCCGTGAAAAAAAAACAATTCAATCATCAAGATGCATATAAGAGTCTTAGTACGGTCATTGATTCCTAATAAATAAATATAAAAACCTGTCAGATATAGAACATTTTCCAAATAAAAGTTGAGTAACCGATACATTTCAAGCTCGAAAAAGCTCATTTGACAAACTTGGCTACTCAAAGATGTCAACAGTGAAAAAAAATTATGCATTTATTGTTCCGACCATTGAAAATGGGGAGGAACTTTGTATTAGGTTTTTTTTCAATTTTTTCTTTTCCACGCAAAATCAGGTGCCACATATAATCATCGGACTGGGTCGACTGATATATCATTTTAAAGCCCTCTAAGTCGTGATTCGAACGACTTTCGAAACTTTCCAAAATAATTCCTTTGTGATGAAAACTTTTCACATTATTTTTAAGATATTTTTTTCCGTTTTTCTAGTAACATTTCTACAAAAGCTGTTTTACTATGACTGTAGAAAATGCCTACGTTCTAGTTTTTCGTTCAGACCATTTTATCACATCACGCAAAAAAAACACTAATTTGAAGAAAAAAATCGTATTTTTTAAGACTATGGTCGGAACATTCTGTGCTACTTGCACAGTAATCGATCACCCTTGTTGACTTTTATTATTGAGTGCAAACTGAATCAATTAAAATGCTATAAAAATTGCTCACATTTAATTTATACCAAAACGAAAAGGAGGTGCTGATAAAATTATGGGACTGAACTTATAGCACTATTAAAAAATTTGACAGAGAGGCATTGCAAAGCTTCAAAAACAAAATTGTAAAAAAATCAAGCTATAAAATTAGTGAAATCAAAATTTTTACGACTCATCCCTCCTGAAACAAGGCAAAAGCATTTAAAAAGCATTTAAACTATGGAAAATAAGCTGACTCAACCAATACAGCAATAGTCAACTCGTTCAACAGAAACAAATAACTATAACGCTTGCTAATCGCAAGGGTAAAAAATTATTCAAAGTCAGAGTTGGTACATTTACTAACAACAGAACAATTTTCAACTATAGTAAAAATGGATTGAATCAAATAAGAAACCTAAGCTTTGGACAAAAATGCTTGAAAACATATAAACAGAATTGCATTAAAAACGGAAAATGAGCAGACAGAAATTAGGACGAAAACCAAAAGCCCGAAAAAAATCAACAATTTATCAATAAATATATTTCAATTCAACGTTTTAACACAATACAATAATAACTCTAATGAAACGAATTTTCAAGAAATTGAGCATGTCTGAGCGGCAACAGAAAATTAGCAAGAAAAAGAACAGCAGTTTGTAAAAAAAATTCTAGTTCCCGATTACCACTCACTAGCTCTCACAGGTGGAAAAATTGCAGTCTAGAATAGTAAACACATTGAAAAACTCCGCGCTGTAATTAAGCTGACAGAACACGATCAGAGGCACTAATTTATGTGGTCTCAAGCAAACACGTAACCTTTTCGCGAGCCGGAAATATTTTTTAATCGGAACTTGATATGCTAATCAAGTTAGCCGATGAGTCCAGAAGAATTCTGGAAAAAAAACTATGATACTAGGATCTACATTCCAATCAAAGCCCAAAAAATTCTTTCTACCTTTCAATCGTATTTTAAAGAACTGAAAACGCTTCTTTTTCGAACACTCCTTTATAAAAAAAAAACCTTTCCTAAATGTTGCAAAATTAACACCTTCAGAATTTTGCTTGATTTTTGGGCCAGGTATAAGTTATCAACAATGCATTTGAATGAGTTGATATCTTTCAGTTGATATTATCCCTCTTTCTCCCCTTTTGAACTGCATATCCATGGCGGATCTCCCGAAAGGGATCAAAGCGGCAACGCCCTCAGCAGCACTTTATCAGTTGGCAGATAAGGAGTAGTCTGCTGGAGTAGTCTGCTGAATTACAGATAGCACTGAACGTCATCACCGAATGCGCAACAGAACACCATGTGATGATCTCAGTTTAGAAGACAGAAGCCGTAATAGTCTCGTTCGATCCTCGTGAAACAGCTGGCAAAGCCCAGCCACCGATAACTCTGCTGATATGGAACATGAACAAGAAACAAATGATGATGATGGGAGTACACATCGAATGACAGCTGAGGTTCGGCAACCACACTTAAAAAGCCTGCAAAAAGCTCCGCAAGCGAAACCAGATGCTCCAGGCGCTGGCAGGCAGAGACTGGGAGATGAGTGCTACGGACCTCAAACGACTCTGCTAACCATATGTCAGACCCGGCGGATTGTATGCAGCAGAATTGTGGGGTGGTTTCCCCACCTGGAGACCTGCAACTAAAGGGCAGCGCCCTCCATCACAGGAGCACCAAAGGAATCGCAAGCCGATCAAAAATGGCCAAAAAAGCGCTCACGACGATCAAACAAGAAATCAAAGACTCTACGGCTAAACTGCTGATCAGATGCAGTCAGTTCTCCGAAAACCACCATCTCCATGCAGTGAGACAGCCAGGACCACGCCAGAGACTCAAGTCAGAGGAGAAGACAATCGCCAGGACTGAAGATCTATTGCTCGAAGACGCCTAGCTACCATCGCAGAAGGCAGAGACCCGAGAGAGGCCCCAAACATGGACAGGGATGACCACCGCCTAGAAGACTACCTACATCAAGTCCCAGTACATCACTTCTACCGCAGAGCAACCCATGGCGAGCCAATGCCGAGAGATTGCAGAAGTACAGCAGAGGAAGTCACCCTGCACAAACTCAGGCTGAATAAAGCTCCCTTCCTACAAGCAACGAAACATAGACACGGACAAATGGATGACCCAAGCTGCCCCTACTGTAATAACGTAGAGGACTCAGAACAAGTTCTCCTGCATTGCACCATCTGATATGGCGAGCGGAAGGCTACCTTTGGCGAAGCCCCGAAACTAGAAGTCCTACAGACAGATACAACCGCCGCCGTGGAGTACCTTAGGAGTATTGGGGTCTACCTCCCGTCAGCACAGTGCACGGCCTACAATAAATAACAACAGCCACATGCGATGAAAAAGTATCCCGGTTTTCGGTCAAAAGAAAAACTGATGTGAAAATCCGCGCATTTGCCATAACTTTCAATAATCTCAAACATGTCAACAGTAGGCACAATCCATCTATTCTATAACACATTTATTCTTCTTTAAAGTCATGACTAATTCAATTCAAGGTAAGAATCGTTTCTATAGAAGTTGAGTATGTGATTACGTAGCCACCAAGAGCAAAATATGCAGCTCAATTTTGAGTCCTGTGAAAAATTTTTGAATGAGCAAAGAACTAATAAACTGATACCTACTTTTTTGTCTTACCAGTATAGTCGTACTTTTGATCAAAAAACTTTTAATGAGATTAAACACGGATGGCCGGTTACTGTGCAAATAGCCCAGAATGTTCCGAACATAGGCTTAAAAATTACAAAAAAGTTTTTTCTAGGCATATTCGACATTCATGATAAAATGGGCACACTGTAAAACTGTTTTCGTTAAAAAAATAAATAGGCAAACGAAAAAAAAATTGTTCAAAACCAAAATTTTTCCAATTTGTTAAACTGTTTGGGGTTTTAAAAAAAATTTGAAAAATCTTGCTTCTCGAAGTGGCGCAAACATGCTCCAAAACACACTTAAATCGAGCACAACTAATTTATCACGGCTCAAAGTAAGCTCTAATAAGCTATGTCTTTATGGCTAGCTCACTTTATTTGCGAGATTAGACCAAAAAATCAAAAACTTCAAACTGGTTTTTCTCGGACCAGAAAATGTTTTCAAATTTTTTAACGTCTTTCGATCACTAAAATCAACTTAAATACAGAGTTCCTTCCCATTTTCAATTAATGGAGCAAAAACTCTTCCGAGTAATCGTCAAATTTTATTGTTTCAAATCATATTATCACTTGGGCATTGGAGATAGCAAGAATCATTCTGTCGAAATTGAAACCAAAAAAGCAACACTATTCTTTCGCATACTTTAATTTTCATCTTATGATTCCGCATCTGACTAAAAATACCTAAAATATTAAGTATATATGTAGGCTTTTAAATATTCCATGTGTAAAAAAACATTCTCTATATCTCTTAACTTTGCTGATCCCAATGATGAGTCCCATATTCAGTTGCGTGCCAACAGGGCTCCTAATTTTTCCAAAGGGTAAGTGTCTCGTGAGGCGACAATTCACAACCGGCAAAAATACGTAACAAGTGTCAATTCGCAACAGTAGATTAAGCGGAGAACTCGGATTCACGCGTCACATTCCTCTCGCGCCGGCCGTAAGCACAGAGAAGCAAGCTTACTCTGCTTGCAAATATCATGTTACGAATTGTCGCAAGTTACGAAGTGGCTTGTTACGAATTGTCTCATTATCTATGTGTCAGGCGAAACGTCAATTGAATGTAGAAATAACTAATGTATGAATAGATAGATCGCATTTTTCAAAATTTTTTTGCTAACTTAAATGTGGACGGAACATAATGAAGTAAAACTCGAGCAACGAACCATTTTTAATGTTCTGACCATTCTCAAAGAGTGGAGAGAGACTAGTAGCCAGAAAGGGTTTTTGCGCACATTCAGTAATCTCAAAACAAGCTCGCAAGGTATATTCTAGGTCTATAATTCGGTATTCGGATTCCAATAAAATTTATGCTTTTTAGGACCATTCACATCGAGAGTAATAGAGCGGGGCATTTCGTTGAAGTTCAAGGCATTCACTTCCATTTATCCAGTTTACACGTACTTTTTTCTCTCTAAAAACTAAAGAAATTATTTGCAATGATTACTACGTTGCGCTCATTTAATTCCCCTCGCTAGGTCATCTGCATATAGATAGGAATACGTTAAATCATTCATGTTCGGAAATCATTCATCTTTATATTGGGATACTTTTATTCAATTTATCTAGAGACGTCAACTAAACACACATAGCAAGACGAGCTAGCCAATAAAAAATTGAGCCGAAGAAAAAAAAAACTTTTTGAAAAAAAATGATGAACAAAAAAAACATCTATAAAAATCCCAAATCACGTTTTATCTCGAATGAAATTCAGTTAGGAGGAAATATGTCAAAAGGGCCAGATGCCGGTCTTAATCGAGCATTAGAACAGTTCTAAGTCACTATCAGCATCAGAACATATTTTTGCCCAATAAGTTACACAATATGAGGCTCCAAGCCGATATAGCACACGTCGAAACTTTTGAAATAAATCGACTTTTAAAAAATTACAGAGCCGAAGCTAAGCTTCGCACCACTTGTGATACAAAAAAATTGAGAAATATCAAAAGATAATGTGTCTGAAACGAAGTGAGAAACTTGGATGAATTCTGTTAATTAAATCGTAAGCCTGGAAAATGCAATTGTTTAAAGGACTAAATAATTATCTACAACATAAGATGGATTCGGTCAACACAAACTCCAATCATGTCTTTCTCATACATGTCCTACAGGAACAATTGAACTTACGAAAAGGCCCTATCCGTTATTTGCTTTAAACTAAGATCTCAAAAAATTGGAAAAAAAAACTACAAAAAACCAAAGCATAATTTTCAAAAAATTTCCCCAAAAACAATTGAAGAAAACCTGAAAAACTCTTATGGCTTAAAAATACCCAACTGCATCAAACTTATCTATCGATTATGAAGTCGATACGCAATGTTAGGAGAGCTGGTGGATCGCAATGTGGAATAAAAAAAGTTAATAATAATAAAGAACAGTAAAAAATACAAAAAAAACGAATTCAGAATTCTCAGCTAGGAAGAACTATACTACTGAATCTCGTGCAAAACTTTCCACAAATCTTCGTAGACAAAACAGTCATGTCAAATTACTTTAAAAAAGCATTGTGGATTTTTTCGAAATAATTTTGATATATTAAAACAATACGCTATGCCATCAACTTGAATCGCTTCCAAATAAAACAGCTCAATCCTAAAAAAAAACATTTAACAGTTAAAAATTATAACTAGTTCTACGCACTTTTTGATTAAAAAATTCAGAAACCAAGCATCTAAAAAACTGAAATTTTGCAATTTATTTTAATTTCAGTTTTCTTCTTTTCTAACAGAAAGTTTTTGAATGTAAAAAAACTAAGAAAACCTGCATTAAATTTACCCTCTGAAATATGAAAACAGGACCAAAAAAATTGACATGAAATAACCGAAATAAAACACCCGGCAAGTAGGCGGACAAAAATTGGTACGAAATCAAAAAACCGACCAAAAAATCTATTACTGAAAACTTTTTTCAGCAGTAGACCAAGTATCACTTCAGTAGCTCTAGACCAGCTCTTAAATGTATAAGTTGGCTAAAAGCCAACTTGTTTTTGAGTGTAAAAAAACTAAGGAAACCTGCATTAAATTTAACCCCTGAAATATGAAAACAGGACCGAAAAAATGGACAAGAAATAACCGAAATAAAACACCCGGCAAGTAGGCGGACAAAAATTAGTACGAAATCAAAATACGGACAAAAAATCTATTACTGAAAACTTCTTTCAGCAGTAGACCAAGTATCACTTCAGTAGCTCTAGACCAGCTCTTAAATGTACAAGTTGGCTAAAAGCCAAAAATGTATAATATATTTTTTAAAGTTGACAATTTTTTCATATTGAATTTTTCTAATTTTAAAACGGAGGGCTTAAAAGGGTGATTAAGATTTTTCAATTTTTCACCGACCTCAGTGCCGACCGACATCTACCAAAAACTCGAATCCGAAGAATTAATTTACAACTCTTTGCGTAAATGGCACATATTTCGCCAATGCAGTAACCATGCTATTAATTAGCAATACAGCGTTACACTATCCATGTATTTAGCCGGTATGAAATATACTGATGACCATTCGGTGAACAAAGTTGTTAACGTGTAAAATGTCTAATACCCGATTGCAATGCCCTTGCTCAGCACAAGGGTAAAAAAGTAAATTATAAAAACTGAGTTGGGTCAAATAATTATACAAATCAAAACAAATTTTAACACAGAGGCGAAGCTGTGCTTCGCAAACACTAGCGAGAACACAAAAAAGCAGCTCAATAAAGTGAAATAAAAAAATAGAAATAGGCCTGGAATTTAAAAAAAAAGCTCAATCCTAGCGTGCGACCTAGAAATTTTAAAACTCACGCCTTAACCTCTCACCCACGGACGCTAGACAAAAAAAATAAAGCAAACAGATGCTATGAACTTCTAATGCTACAAATCGTGATTATAGCGAAAGCGCCACCAAATGAGCACATCTAATTGCGAGTTAGGCTGGAAAAAAGAAGGTTCATTCTAATAAACTACGCTCGCAAACTCAGTTGTTAAATAGAAATTTTAAATACAAATAAGCTCAAAGTACGTCTGTTGCACTAACCTTCTAACAGAGGCTTCCAGGAGATGAGTCTTATGAACAAAGTTGTTCACGGCAAAAAATTTCTAGTGCACAATTTCAATACACCTGCTCTCTCAAGTATCATAACGCATGAAGTTTGATTTCAGGGCTAGCTTAAAAGCCAAAATTGAACTAGTTTTATGATTTTCTTAAAGTTACCTCGTGCTGAAAACCCCTTTTTCAATAAGTTAATTAAGTTCGTCAAAAAATCAGCAGCATAATTGGTTTTTTCTATTCATTATACAAAAAATATCAGTCTAATATTGCACTTGGTTCCATTAAGGCACTTAAAACAACTTCACTACAAGGCGTATTCAAGGTTCAACTGAACAAAAGCTCAAGCAAGACAAAGAACAATTCATTGCGCAATTCAGAAATGACGAATCGACATTAAAAATACAAAAGTGAACTTTTAAAAGTATAGAGTCAGATGAGGTTATGTTGCTCTAAAAGCGCAACTGATTCCTCTGATTCGAGGAAACATTAAAAGGCCTGAATGATCAACTTCTTTTCCTGGTCACGTTTGAATCTATTCGCTCTGAATATCTCACTTCCGTAGAATGAATTCAGATCTCTGATATTTAGACGTTGGGCTCTATCAGCCAGATCTTTTTCTGGTATCTGCACTGTATCAATATCCACTTCCTCTCCTAATCTGTTTCGCTGGTAAGTGACGTGCTCCATGACCAGTGCCTTCAGCAGGAACAACAGGACCTCATTGTTGTCCTTCTTGTAACTCAGATACCTGTTGAAACTTTTGCACATGCTCTTCATGATGCTGTACTTCTGAGTCTCAATGAAGCTCTCGAGCATGATTCGAATGGCCATATTGACGTCGTCGCTGCTTACATAATCCCTCAAGTGCAATTTGGCATGGGCTTCCGAGAGCCGAATGACGCTTTCAATGTGACGAACAGTTATAGGGATACTTCCCGTAACGGTCGATTCTCTTCTAAGATCCGCATACATCTTAGCGAGTTTGTCCTGGTCAGCGATTGTCAGTTTAGGATGCACTCTTTCTCTTGCGTATTGAATGTATTTCTTCAACAAGTCCTGAGGTACCAGCCTAACCGTTGAAGATCGAGGTAGTTCAATTTGGGTTTCTTCCTCGCCTGCATTTGGGTGATGCTTAACGTGTGAACTGACTACAAAAGAGGCCATAAGCTCGTCATTCACAGGGTCTACCTGATCTCTGACAATACAAAGAACGTCGAATCGAGACAAAATAGGTTCCGAAAGGTCAACATTGTCCGCGAAGGTCAACGTAGGATCATATCGCCCTCCTATAGGGTTAGCAGCGGCAATGATTGAGCATCTAGCCTGGAGGGAAGTCACAATGCCAGCTTTTGCCAACGAAATACTTTGCTGTTCCATCGCCTCGTGAATCGAAGTTCGGTCAGCGTCGTTCATTTTATCGAACTCGTCAATCAGACAGATTCCTTTGTCGGCCAACACCAAAGCTCCTGCTTCCAGAGTCCACTCCCTAGTTACTGGACTTCGCTGCACATAGGCTGTCAAACCAACAGCTGAGGCTCCTTGTCCTGTACTAAACACTGCCCGATGAGCAGTTTTCTCAACATATTTGAGGAACTGTGATTTCGCAGTACCAGGATCTCCGCAAATCAAAATATTAATATCGCCCCTCAAGCGATGCTTCTCACCTGGATTTTTGGGCTGACCGCCGAATAATGCCAAAGTAATTGCACGTTTTATATCCATGTGTCCGTAAATTGACGGAGCAATCGATTCAAAAACTCTTTCACCGACCTGTGGATCTTTCGACAGTGCAATGATTTCGGCGATATCCTCGTCCGTCAATCGTGCGAAGTTGGACTTTTCATCCTGCTTGTCAATGTAGTTTGCTTCAATTACAGTTCCGAAAACAGGAAACCCGTGCGAATTATTAAGCGAGCTATCGTAACTATTGTGGTAGATCCCAGTCAAGTCGATTTCATCTCCTGGTTTGCACGTATCACAGAGATCTGCCAAAAGAATAACATCTTTTGATCTTGGCAAACGACCTGCGGCGACCTTACCTGGACTCTCTTGAATTGTTATTTTCTGATAGTTTCTGTACAGCGTTTCCTCCACATTGATCTCAAACGGTCCTCGGCTCTGACATTCAGGACAGTTATTCGGCTTTGTATCCTCTTCCTGATTTTGGTACAGTGGACCAATCACATAGTGACATTTGACACAATCATATTTGACCAAGTTAAGCTGCGGCAAAACTCCTGAAGCACATGTCACGACACCTTGGGTTCTCACGAGTTGGTTCAAATGCAACTGTCTCAAAGATCTCAAATCTTCATTAAGGGGTAAGCCAGTAATTCTCACAAATATCTGCTCGTGGATTTTGTTATACTCGGGGTACATGACCAAGATGATTTCTTTCGCAGCGTCGTTAAAAATCTCCAAAACCTCTCGCGGTGCTTCAGGTAAAAACAGTGCCAGGGCTTGTTCACGAGAGCCAATCAACGAGTAGGAAACCGGTAGACTTTGCAAATTGTTGTTTACCATCTGGCGAATGACTTCTTTGAAGACCAGTTTTCCCTTGGCATTCATTGCGGTTCGGAGGAAGTTTTTAAAGCGATTCTTGATCTCCAATCTATTCGCTCGCATCGTGACCCACTCTTTTGTGGAGTGACCTTTGGTGTCCTCCAAATTTTCAATACTTTCGAACATCTCGTCGTCTATTTCTCCCTCGGCCGCCATTTCCGCTCTTCTTCTGCGTCTCAACGGAACATCCGCTTCCTCTTCTTCGTCTTCCTCGTCCGAATCGAAGGCCAAGTCAAGACCAGTTCTACGCTTTCCCTTTTCCGTCATTTCCCTGTACAAATAGATCATATCAAAGCAACAGAAGAAAGCGAAATCAACAAAAACAAGTTATGCAAGCAAACTCATTACTATAAACTGAAAAACGCGGTGTGAAAAACTCAATAGTTTTAGGGTGATCAGTCTTGAGTTTTTCCAGCCATGGAATGTGCTGATTGTTTTTCATGGTAAAAAACTTTAGTTTTAGACTACTTACTTTCGGTCTCGTTTGCGCATTTCCCTTTCAGCCGCTGCTCGTGCCGCTGGGTCAAACTCACTCAAGTCATCTTCCTCGTCTGCCAGACCCTCTCGCTCATAAGTGTCCAGTTCCGGAATGGCCTGATAGTCCTCTTCCATTCGGTCTCCAATCAGATCCTCCCCATCTTCCTCTTCTTCGGGAGGGGCGTCATTGTCCCCAAAGAGATCCTCCTCTTCGAAAGGAGCCTCAGGCTCCGCCGGAACAGCCGAAGCGGCAGTAGGTGGTGCCGCGTTACGCCTCTGTGACCGGGCTGCACGCACGTCATCCACATCATCTCGCTCAGCATTGGGATCACCACGAGCCATTTCAAGTTAACTGAAGTATCGGACGCATATTTTTAAAATCTACTTTTAGGATAAATTGAAAAATGACCATGTAAACTGCGCAGTTTTAATTTGTCCAACCGAGCTATACTACGGTTAGATTAGCCCGAATAATCTCTTTTATATGAGTTTCTGGGGAGGAGGACGAGAGAAGATAACTCAATGGGTTTTAAAGGCAAACTCATTACAATTTGAAAGTAGTTGCAGTTGCAAGACAAGATGCGACAGATTCTGTAAATAATGTGAAAGAACAAAATTTGGAATAATCTCGAAGCACGGAAATATTTTTCGTATTTAGAAATAACTAGCAGAACACCTGTTGCAGAATTTGAATCAATTATCGCTACATTCATTCATAAATTATCAGCACGCGGAAGAATGTACTTGGGTTATATTTTAACAGTTAGCTATATTTTGAATGAGTCAATTTTTCAATGTAAAATAGAAATCACCGACAAAAAATTCTAATACGACTCCATCAAATTTTCAAGCGCTATTGACATTTAATGCTAATGTAGACTGTATCTTAAACAATTGCATACAAGGCTCACAATTCTTAAACATGTAACATAGGCTATAACATGACAAGAAATGAGCCACAAATTAAATACAAAGACAGAATTGATTTTTTCCCTTAAAAATGATGGGGGAAGACGTGTGGTATGTTTAAACATGCGTATCAGAAGTTAGAGCCTTAAAAATGTGTTATCTAACTTCAGGCGATCATTGCTTCGAGGTAAGTTATATAACAATGGTTAGGGCTGTAGGTTCTATCTTCGAAGCTTCTGTATTTATTTTTCCGAAACTTTTATTTAAAAAAACTAGCGCATGACTTTTTTACGGAGCTTCAAACCGATTGCTAAACGTGAAAAGACCTTCCTGAAGTATATTAAAAACTTAACATTTTATGCAACTGTAAAAATAGACTGTTACCATATAACAGGGTTTTCTATTTCATAAATAAAACGAATTATGCAGTGTCAACTTTTAGGTTATCTTTGTTAAAATGTTCATATCCGCAAAACTACTGATTTTCACAAGCTTGCTTTTCAAACTTAAAATAGACTCTAAAGAGGCGGGCGGCAAAAAACTGAACTTTTCGTATTTTTTGAAAATACTTCTCGAATGTCATTTCCCGAAAATTAAAAAGGCGCTCATAATTTCTGTCTACATATGTTACACTTTGAAGTATCCTGAAATCAACCCACTATAGGATGTAAAATTCGAGAAGTCCTGATAAACCAAAACTCTCAAAAAATGATGAAAAACGTCAAACCGAGGTATTTAAGTACTTATATTTGGATGCCTGATTTGCAAATCCAAGATGACTATTCCGAGACTCATAACTTATATAATTTTTTTTGACGTAGTCGCGTATGCAAAGGAGCGCTCACAGCCCGTTTTTGGGATTGAACCTAAAATCTCAGATATGGGAGGGCAGTTTTCAAAATTTTAAAAACGGTTAAAAAATTTACCTTTTGGAGGGCAATAAAAATTGTGAGTAGCCGCTAATAATGCAGGTGAGCTTCCCACCAGCCGTTTTTTTTCCAATGAATCCAGTTTTCGAGAAAAATGAAGGTTCAAAAAACTCAAAAATGTGACTATTTTGAGGGCCATAACTTCATGTATAAAAAAATTGGGCGTAGCCGCTTATGCACGGGAGCTTTCCAAAATCCGTTCTATTCATTGAAACCAACAGTTTCATAATTGTGAGGGTAGTTTAAAAGAAGAAAACCATGGGTTAAATATTTCCCCAACAGATTTTTTCGAAGGCTGTAGACAGAGGGCTAAAGTGAAAAAAGACTAGGGAAAAGAGCAGGCATACATGAGAGTAGGCAGGTTTTCCATTGATGCCTTTTTTGAGAATTAGAGGTAGAACAATTTCCAAAGCCTCTCATAAAACACCCATTCCCACACACTTTCACAAGTCCTTTCTTTATCAAGCAGGAATTCTAGAGAAACATGCCAAGCAATACATTTGAAATTTTCGAAAGCATTTGGGCATTTTGAAAAGCATTGGAACCAAGGTTGCGAAGCGGAGAAAGCCGGCAACCTTTCAACAGACACCAGCTGAGCCAAGAGAAAAACTGTTTCTATAACAAGAAAACTTTTTAGAAGTTTTAAGCATCCCCTGAAATTACGATCAATAACACTTACAAATACCATGAGCAACCAAATTTGAAATCGGAAAAACTTAAATTTGAACTCGGAAAAACCTGAAGCAGCCCACCACAGGGCTGCTAATTTCAAACTTTGCTAAATAAGAGAAATTTAGTGAAATTTTTTTTATAAAATGCAAAAAATGAAAAAAAAAACTGCTTCAACAGTCGTGTAATGAAACCCTTACATGACCTTACCAAATCGCAATTGAGTATTCGTATGGAAGAAAGACGTCTTACACTTTAAAATTTGACACAGAGGCGAAACTTCGATTCTTAAACACTTACGAGAACACAACCAAGAGCAGCTCTATAAAGTACTATAATAAAAACTAGAAATAGAAATATTCCTCGAAATATTTCTCTCATAAAAAGTAGCCACTTTTGCAGAAAAAAATTCGCTCAACCGCTTATTTCGATTGAACTTTTAATCTCAGATTTGATAGGATAGTTTTTGAGAAAATTCAAAAAGTTTCTAAAAAGCAGGTCAAGGCCGGTAAAATACAGAAGATTCCCAAAATCGGGTTCCTCGATTGAACACTAGACCTGAGAATTGGCATGGTAATAGTCACAAAACTTCCACAAAAAGGTCAAAGTTTCAAAACTTTCATATGTTTGAAGGTCATAACTTTTTTCAAACATATTGGGCTTAGTAAATTACAAAGGCAAGCTTCCAAAAACCTGTTGTGTCGATTAAACCTATGATATCAGATTTGGCTGGATAGTTATCGAGAAAAGTCCAAAAAAAGGTCAACAAATCAGTTGAAATTTCCGAGAATCATAGCTTTTTCTTTCAAAAAAAAAATTGCGCGTTGCCGCTTATGCAGAAGAAATTCATTCAACCTGTTAGTGTGATTGAACCCAAAAACCCATGTTTGCAAGTGTAGCTCTCTCGTAAAGTCCAAAAGTTTTTAAAAAAAAACGGTAAGAAATAAAAAAATTAACTTTTCTGAGGACCATAACTTCTGTGTAAAAAATCTTGTGAGTAGCCGCCGGCGCAGAGGAGCTTCTCACTTCCCGTTATATGCTTTGAACACGCGGCCTCCGGAACAAAAAATCACAGACTTGGAAGATAAGTTTGAGAAAAAGAAAAATATATATCAAAAATATCGGTCAAATATTTTCCCGACTAATTTTTCGAAGACTTAGACAAAATGGTGAGGCAAAAAGAGACCAGCGGAGTACGCAGGCACACAATGTTGTAGGCGGTCTTTCTACGGAAACTCCTTTTGGACAATCGGTAGAATAGTTTTTGAAAACCAAATTAAACCAAATATCTCAGATATGACACGGTAGTTTTTGAGAAAACTATTTTACAAAAATTTTAAAAAACTAGTCAAAAAATCAAAATTCAACGGACGCAAATCAAATCTGAGATGAAATTTTCATTTGAATCGGTTGCGATGATTGATCCTGCAGAAGCATACATGCTCAAACTATCAAGATCCGGACGGGAATCGAAACCCGGACCTTAGGTTCCAACGGCGACGGCATTGCCACTAGGCCAAGTGCGAAGGTTCCTGGAAAATCTTGAGAATTTTTAAAAATCAAGGTGAAAATTTGTAAGAAAAATGGTTAATGGAAAAAAAAGTTGAATGTGAATTTTGAGGAAACTGTTGAAAAAAAATCGATCTATCTGCGTAAACAATTTGAGCAGTCAAATTTGAAATCCAGATTCGAAGTGTCTCGGAAAACCATGAAGCAGTCCACCACGTGCTTCCAATTTCAATTTGTTAAAGAAAGACCGAAACAATTTTTTCAAGGTTGCACGAAAAATTAAAAAGTGTATAGTCAAAGCATTCACGCTTCAACAGTTTTGTGGTGAAACTCGTAGATGGCCTTTCATAATCGCATTTAATTGTTCGTATGTGTAGAAGACGCGTTCCTATGTAAAATTTTGTATTAACAAAATTTAAATTAAAACATTGCATTTAGTAAGCATTAAGAATTATTGGCATTTTAGATGCCAACGTAGTGACTTCTTAAACAGGAGCGAAATACCAGTTGAATAAATGATAGATAAAATCAACAAATGCTTACGTATACACCAATATGTGCGACTTTGTTTGGATAACAAAGCCAAAAGAAAAGTGGAAAACTATGATGATAGCAACGAAATTGAAAAACAAAATTATTGTCTTTTCTTTAAACATTAGACGCTTCGAATTCCGAAGAAAAAACTTCACGTTCTAGCTCTTAGAACTTCATGCAGTGTCAACTTTTAGGTTATCTTTGTTAAAATGTTCATATCCGCAAAACTACTGATTTTCACAAGCTTGCTTTTCAAACTTAAAATAGACTCTAAAGAGGCGGGCGGCAAAAAACTGAACTTTTCGTATTTTTTGAAAATACTTCTCGAATGTCATTTCCCGAAAATTAAAAAGGCGCTCATAATTTCTGTCTACATATGTTACACTTTGAAGTATCCTGAAATCAACCCACTATAGGATGTAAAATTCGAGAAGTCCTGATAAACCAAAACTCTCAAAAAATGATGAAAAACGTCAAACCGAGGTATTTAAGTACTTATATTTGGATGCCTGATTTGCAAATCCAAGATGACTATTCCGAGACTCATAACTTATATAATTTTTTTTGACGTAGTCGCGTATGCAAAGGAGCGCTCACAGCCCGTTTTTGGGATTGAACCTAAAATCTCAGATATGGGAGGGCAGTTTTCAAAATTTTAAAAACGGTTAAAAAATTTACCTTTTGGAGGGCAATAAAAATTGTGAGTAGCCGCTAATAATGCAGGTGAGCTTCCCACCAGCCGTTTTTTTTCCAATGAATCCAGTTTTCGAGAAAAATGAAGGTTCAAAAAACTCAAAA